TGGTACTCATTTTTGTTAGAGGCTGGGTCAACCCCAGGGCCATAGTGCAGCTGGAAAGATTAGGTCAACTGAAAAAAATCCAATGACCTCATCAGGATTTGAACCTGCAACCTTCCGGCTTGTAGCATGGTGCCTCAACCGACTACAAAATATGAAAAATGCTGTTCACAGTTGAGTACATTCTCAAAGACACATGGCAGTTAGGAAGGCAGATGAGTTACTTGTCTGTTCAGACAAAACTTGACAGCTTCTTCAAACCTGCATTTTTATGTAAGATTTGAGGCTTTCACGGCGGTGACTATGAAGAAAGCAGTCTTCTGGGATTTGGCACCGTGTATATGTGGTGTTAACCGACGTTTCGGAGGAACGTATCGCCTCCATCTTCAGGGTAGAAGAAAAAATATATAAGAATCTGCAAGCAAAGAGACCNGCAGACATGTTACCAGTGCTATAAATAGTATCCTATAGGTGGCAGTATAATGCAGACAAACAGAACGCCATCACAGTGCCAGTTTCAAGATGGCTGCTCCACTGCGTACATGCACGAAAGAAGAACATCCTGTAATTCATTTTTTGATAAGTGAATGGGTGAAACTGATTGAAGTTGATTGACAGATGAAGGTTTAGTATGGTGACGCATGCTTGTCACAGCAGCAAGTGTACGAGTGGAGTAGGAAATTCAGAAATGGTGTGACGTCTGTGACAGAAGCTCCTCACCCGAGTCAGGGGCACAGAGTTGTGACCCCTGAGTCTACTGCAGCAGTTGAAGCCCTAGTGATGGAGAATCATCGAGTGTCAGTGGATGAAATAGCTGAAATTCTTAACATGAGTCACAGATCAGTACACCGTGTCATTCATGATGTGCTCCAGTTTCACAAAGTGTCTGCAAGGTGGGTGCCACGGCAGCTGACTCCAGAATTGAGACGACGACATGTTGACGCCTGTGAAGAACTTTTGCGATGTCTTGAAGCAGGCGATGGCTTCCTTTCGAGAATCGTTACTGGCGATGAAACTTGGGTGCACTACCACCAACCGGAAGCAAAGAGAACGAGCAAGGAATGGCATCATTCCTCATCACCAAAACCCAAGAAGTTCTGGACACAGCCATCTGCAGGGAAGATTATGCTGACTCTCTTTTGGGATGAACGAGGTGTACTCTTGGAGCACTATATGCCTCAGGGGAACACTATCACCAGTGCCTCATATTCAGTCAGATCTCTTGAAGAATCATTTTCGACCTGCAGTCAGATCAAAGTGACGTGGACTTTTGACTAGAGTGTCCTTTTGCAGCATGACAATGATCGGCCCCATACTGCCCGTGCAACAGTTGCAACAATCCAAGACTTGCACTTTGAGTGTCTTCCACATCTGCTACACTAACCAGACCTAGCCCCAAGTGATTACCACATGTTTGGACCACTCAAAGAGGCGATGGGGGGAAAGCAGTTCCATTCTGATGAAGAGGTACAGCAGGTGGTGCATGAGTGGTTGTGCAGACAACCACAAGAATTTTTTTCTAGAGGAATCCATACATTTCGTAAACGCTGGATGGGCTGTATTGAACGAAATGCAGACTATGAACAAAAACGATATAGTTGTGTACCGCTTTCATTCAATAAATTAAATTTAAAAAAAGTTTTACAGTTTTCATTTGACTCACCCTTGTAATAGCTCAGGACTGAGTCAAACAGAGAGTCACAGGGTACACAGTAGCATACTGAACTTTAAGAGTAGACGTACCTGAGCTGCACGGTCTGGGTCCACATTGTACTGACAATCTCCTGTGCCTACACTGGCCCCAATGCCATCACCTTCAAGCACACAATCCCCAAGATGGTACCCCTGCAGGCACTGGCGGCAGAAGACAAACTGCAACAACAGGTCACATTACCTACAGTGAAATTCATAAAATGTACATTTAACCACAGTTAATCTCAGAATATTTCAGTTTTCAATGAATATGAACAAAAGTAAAGACCTATGTATGTATGTTTCTGTGTGCATCTTGTAACTCGGCAAAAAATTTGTCTCAGTAAAATATGTTGCAAACTATAGTTGTAATGAAAAATGACACACATCTTTGTGTCAAATATATTTCTTCATTCTTACAGTTTTTGATATAATTAAACAGAAGTTAGTGAACATGCTAGAATTGTTATTGTATGTATATATTTCCTAATATGTTTCCAATATAACCAGATTTGATAAGATGGACACAGTTTTTTGTCAGCTTTGTTTAATGCCAGCTTTATACCAGACCAATATGGATCACACTGAAATCTGCATGACAACTTTAAGTGCAGACCTCACAGTAAAAATTTATCAGAACGTGTACACTAGTTTTGATGAAGACATGTGCAGTCAGACAATAATATCTACTGCTGAAGTGTTTGTTTTACACACTTTACACAAAAACACATAGAAACTGAGCAAGATACTACAACTGCTTCATTCCAGATGATTTCCCATTCATTATTCATTAATCAGTCTACCATTCACAACTACACAGCCTGCACTATAGCAACATTTTCAGATAAGCACTACAAAGAGAATTAAATAAATATTCATGATGCATGAGGCAAACTGCAGAAGAACTCACCCCACAGCCACTGATACATGTGATCTTTCGACAATCTGGCTCAGCAAGGATGCCCATGCCACAGCCCGGCTGGGGGCAGAGTACCCCTCCTGCCTGCAGAACATACTCCTCTGTAGCGAACCTCTGGTACTGCCCATACTGTAACACAAGTTTGTTAATAAGCTTCACAATTAAGGGAACTACAATTTAAATCCCAAATGCCCAAAGGGGTATCTTGGTTGTTGCTTGGTTCCATAAAGTAGTGTCCCATATGATAAGGCTTTAAGCAAGTTGTAGCCTCACAATCGCACAGGACAAGGCACCTTTCACAAGTGGGACTGTTAGTTAATCAAAATTGGACAGGTGTCCTTCCACATGACAGTGCCCCACAAGCAGTCCTGTCACCTACCACAACCAGGTTCTATTTAGTTCCAACAGTTTTCCAGTTCTTCTGGCAGACGGTCCTTGAAGGAACCTCTTGCATATTTGAGTCCTGTTCTGGGCTTCCAGTATTTTTTGTCTCTGAAGTCCCTCTGGGCAATCCGCAATGTGGTGGCACATGCTAGTTCAATCTTATAGAAGGATATTCAGATACTGATCTTGCCAATTATTGGCAATTTCATTACCCTCTCAATTCCTCTGTGACCTGGCACCAATATCAATTGAACTCTGGTATGATCAGTCAGTTCCAAGAAGGACTGATGGAAGTCCCTGACCAATTTTGAGTTGCTCTGGTGATATTCACCAAACTGCAGTTAGAAACCAGAAGACAGAACCCTTTATTGGCTGTGCCACAGTTCAGGTGGTTAGTTGACAGCTTTATACAGTGGGTGCCCATGTTCAAGCTCAGGTCAGGTCATGTGGGATTTGTGGACAAAGTGGCACTGGGGCAGGTTCATTCCACCAACTGCTCCACACTCATCATCTATCATCCAGGGCTGATAGAACAGGCCAGTTAGTGGCCAACGTATGAAGTGGACTCAGTCTCACCTAACCTGAAGAAAAAAACCTTTATATACTGTCGCGAGTAGGGTGTATAACGCGACAAATAACTTCACGCCTTGTTGGTTATAGCGAATTTATTCCACTCGCTCTTACAATCACACAATTTACAATCTGACAATTACTGCCTTCGGCAGTATCACAAATACTAGACTGCAAATGCTAGAATACAACTGACTGGTTGCTGGCTAACTCGGAACTAACTTGTAGCTCGAGAACTGAGAACTCTGTTGATCACACAATTAACAATCTGACTCGTAGGCTTGCTCGGAACTAACTCGTAGGTAGCTGCCTTGAGAACTGAGAACTGACTGTGAATAGTCTTCGCTGCTCCGTATCTAGCCTCGTGCGGACAACGCAGAAAACAGCCACGTAATAGGCACCCTTGTTGCCTGGCGCCGTGTTGCTAGCAACGCTGTCCGGTGTCGTTTACTGCTGCCTAGCAACCAAGGTATCCCGTGGTGACGTCACCGCTGTTGACTCGCGTTGCATAGCTACCAGGATGCTGGGACTCGGCTAACTTCGGCTCCACTCGGCGCGTCACGGCTGGCGGGGGGGGGGGCGTCCTCCATAGCTCAGCACGTCACAATACATATTGTTTATTTAACACATACAGACTTAAAGTTACAAACTTCATGGACATACAATGTGAGCCCTATAGGTCACATGACAGACACTGATCAAATACTTCAGCTCCTCCCAAACACTGATCAGCATGTCCTGGCAAGAGATGTCACTGCCTCAGTAACCTTCAGATCAGGAATGTCTGCCGACACTGGTGGTACAAACACTGTACACTTCACATAACCCCACATATGAAATGCCCACTCACACTTGGAACAGAACATGTCTTTGCACACTGAATGATATAGAATGTTTTTCCAATGGGCATCAATGCATTTGCCTAAAGATGGGAACAGAGTCACATTTCTAGCTCATTATTATAACAAATGTGGTCAAATTAGTTGTCTAACATTATACATGGAATCACACTGAAATGAATGAGTATCTGAAAAAATTACTTCATTTTGAATTACCCTGTACTACAACATGATGCTAAAATACAGTATCTGTCAGTGCTTTAACCTAAAAGGGAAGATTTCACATCTATAATTAATTAAAATATTTTGACCAATCATACATGAAATCAAAACGAAACTTACAAGAATAATAAATTTAGTAATGCCAAAACCTGATGAAGAACTTTAGATAAATACACCTTGAATCACTGTTTACTGAGAGGAACAGTCAGTTCAGAAAATATGTTCAATACAGTAGCAAACACACATCATCTGTATTGTAAGACACCTTCATAAATGGAAACTTAGTAAGGATTGCCAGAAGGTCGCGCCATAGTTCAAGCGGTTAGTCACTGGCTTCCCACCGTGGCGGCCTTGGTTCAATCCCGCGTCTGGTCAAGTGGGATTTGTGGTGGACACAGTGGCGCTGGGGCAAGTTTTCTCTGAATACTTCGGTTTCCCCTGCCAATCTTAATTCCACCAAATTCTCCATCATCATAATCACCCAGGGCAGGTACAATAGGCCAATCAGTGGCCGCCATGCCANAAGTGGACCCAGTTGGACTCCACCCCCCCACTAAGCGAATTAAAAAAAAAGGGGGGGGGGGATTACCAGACCCTCCACAACTGTGTTCTATACTAACCTGAGCAGATGTCAGAAGTCGAAAGTGGTGCACCTCTGTGATAAGGGAGTCCCTGCACCCTGCTGGACAAGGTAGTGTGTAGCCATACTCTGGGTCTAACCAGAACTGTCGGTCCCTCAGTCGTGCAGCACAGTATGTTCGGAAGCAATCCAGGCATGTTACGTGTGCCATGTCACATGGAAACACCAGCACAGGATCACTGGTGACAGCGAACATGAATGTGAAGCCAGGGGTGACATGCACTGAGGATGTGATCACCATCACTTATCAGTAATAGTGTGATATCAGGCTTACTGCACATATCACAAACATCGAAAATTGGGCTTACTGCATATACCAGTAATTTTTTTTATTGCTAGTGGGGTGGGACTAAGTCCCTTGTACTGCGGCCACTTCTGGCCTATTGTACCAGCCCCAGATGATAGGTGAGGGTGATTGTGGAGCAATTGGTGGAACGAAGATTGTACAGGGAAAACCGAAGTACTCAGAGAAAACCTGCCCCAGCGCCACTTTGTCCACCACAAATCCCACTTGACCAGACCCAGGATCAAACCCAGGCCACCGCGATGGGAAGCCAGCGACTAACCACTTGACCTATGGCGTGGCCCATCCATAGTGTAACTTCATTTATGTGCAGCATGTGTTGTTGTCCGGTATATTTCTGTGGTGCTGTACATGTTTTCTTCTGTTGTACTGTGTGTAGATGTTATGATATTTCTGTAACAACTATGCCTACATCTTCTACATGGCAGAAGCCCACATCAGAACCTAAGACAGTAGGTATGGAAGGGACAAAATACAACAAGCAGATTTGTTTCCTACATCCTCCATCATTTTAAAGTGATCCTTTTATACTGTTATGTGGTCATATGATAAAAAGGCCCGCCAAACACCACCAAGATGTATATACCACACAACATCAACAACAAAATAATAATATATATTTAGAAGGGTTAGGTTAAAGGCAAAGCTATCACTGTAACAGGCCGTGAAGGCCCATATTGTCGAGACGGCAATGCTCCCACATTTTCTAGACAATCGGCTCATAGATGGCAGTAAGGTTGTCAGCCTTATGGACCGACCACCCTTTGCTCCTCAGGAAGATTCCTGGTACTCATTTCTGTTAAGAGGTTGAGTTGAACCCAGGGCCATAGTGTGGCAGGAAGGACTAGGTCAATTGAAAAAACTGAATGACCTCATCGGAACTTGAAAGCATTACCTTCTGGCTTGTAGCACTGTGCCTCGACCAACTAAGCTACCACATGCCCCATATTTATAAGGGTACATATCAAATTTTTATAAAAATTATTTCAGTGACAGAAGAGGTTTTCATGTGTGTAGACAAGCAGCAGAAACTGAAATTTTGCTTCAAATTTTAAAATTTACAAGAACAATAGCCGTAGTGTTTCCATATATACATACCTGATGTCGGTGCATGCAAGGCAGGGAACATCTTGAAAATTTGACTTGATGAGGTACAATGGCACAGCTTGGTCATCCTCCCCCTGTGAAGTGTGTTCAGAGCATTTGAAGTAGAAATCTGCAAACTTTGGTCCATCATCACTCCCAGTCTGCAAACATTCTACAAGTTAGAATCTGACCAGTGTTGATTAACTTTTTACAGTTTCATGTGCAGCACTGTGTTTTATAAAATTTATTACAAGTTGTTCACTTTAAAGTCCATCATTACATTTCGACCAATGCTAGTCATCATCGGGTGTTTAAATTACTGAGCGAGGAAAGTGCTGTCTTCTGTTGTTGCTTATGTTGTTAATATATACATATTGTGGCGTGCCACCACAAAGCCGGAATGGTTGAGGAGATCAGACTTGATTTCCTAGGCAATGACCAACATTCCCATGACAGCGGCTAGGAATCAGAATGCTAGCAATTCCTATCAGTGGTTTCCACCATTACACATGAACTGTTGAAGCAGTGTCGATAGCAGCAGGCGGAATGGACCCTTTGACATGGTGTTCTCTATCAACTCCAAATGCAATTTATAAAACTCCAGCTTCAACAAGAGACAAGTTTCAGTAATGTGTTTGACCTTAGAAAAGTAGTCAGTCTTCAGTTTGGCTTTGACTATAGCAGAAGCAGTAATTGTGATACTGAAATTGTGAATAATTGTACTTTAGAGGAGATTGGCCAATGAACATATTCGCCAAATCGGTTACCCACATGTATTTTCTTGTCATGTCACATAGCAAACACGTGACAATATATATAAGTATATATATAAGTCCTCTCAATGCGCATATGTGTTTGGGTTGGAGCGTTGTGTTCTCTCTTGTTGCGTGCTGTTCTGTGTGTCTTGTCTTGTATGGCAGTGTTCAGTAAAATAAATACATACATAAAAAGGAGGTAACAAAATAACATTCTTGTCTTGGTAAGATTCCTTCTAACCACTTTTTAATTTCATATGGGAAATTATACCATTCTTGAGTTAATGGAAAATACTAGTATTGTTCAAAATAGTGGGCAAATTACATAAATAAATGGGGTTATGTCAAAACTAGATGGCTGAGAGAAGCTTTGCTCAGAAGTTCAAATTCAGTCAGGGTACCATTAAGCATGTGCTTACATGCATAGTGTATATCATCAGTGTTTTGCTACAAGAGCACTAGACACTGCCCCACACATGGAATGGTGACACACATCATCATGTAAGGGACTTATGGGATTGTCGATGCTTGAAGAGACAACCATGTTCTGAACTCCTATACAAATATTCACTGTTGCTATAATGAATACATGGATGACCTTCAGTCTGTTGTGCCTTCAATAGTCATTGTGTGGTAGTGTTTTGGACAATGGAAAATCTTGGCTGGTTAACGCTTCACAGCTGAACAATCAACTTCTCACAGATGAATGAACACGATTCATGAATGCGAGAGAACCGAATAGAAGCCACCACATGGGACAGTTCATGTTTTGGTCTCCTGTATCCATTGTAGCAGAAACGCCTAGTGATCCCAAGGGTCTATTTCTGTGGAAACCCTGTCTGTTGATTCCTCGTATCTATCAAAACCTTTGTTGAATCTTCTCTGACATGAGAATGTGTTTTAGTGAACCGCTGCCTAGCAAATGGACTTCCACTTGAATGAATGTGGGTGGCTCCCACAGCATGTGTATAAATTTTAAGCACATTAGGTGCACAGAGCTGTTTTCGGGATCCTACTGACACCCCACCATTCTACCAACACCCTGTTCAAGACTGAAGTGATGTAGCAGCTGAAGAAGTTACCAACATTTGTCACCATTGTCATCAAAAGTAGAAGAGAATAGATCAAAGGAGTATGTACTAAACAGCCTGTACTCTTCGCTGTACTCAATCTACTATGCATCTACATCTTTACAAGTAATTAGAAATTAACTGACTCAGCCAAAATATAATGCTAGGGAGGTAAGGTAAACATAAAGTTGTCCCTGTTTAATTAATTAAGAAAGCACTATGCCATGAGGACATATGGCAGAGTGGACATACAGCTCCACCAGTCTTGAACTTGGCACTAGATACAGGTGCGTGGGCAGCTTCACGCCCCGACCGCTTTACACCCAGCAAAGATACCCCTGATACCCATTAGATAGGAGGCTGGGTAGGCCCCAGAACTGGTCTGGACACTATGAAGAAGAGAAAAATCTTGACAATGCCAAGAATCGAACCCTGGCATTTCAGACCATTGCTATACTGAGTCCAATGGTAGGGAAAGATTATTTGATTCATTTACAAAAAGTGACATGCTGCGACTAGACAGTACACACAAATGCAGCCGAACTATCAATCCAGTGCAGGATGAATTGTTCATTTATCATTATTAGGCATGTGCAAGTCTCTGGTTCCAAGACCAGATCAAGAAAAAATCTCAGTCTTGATTCTAACACTGAATTTTCAGTCTTGAACTTCAAACATTTTCAGATAATTGCTTCTGTTTTGCACCATAGCATGTAACCAAATGATCAGAACTGCTAATGACTGGCAATGCTAGCATGAATCATCTTGCCAAGAAAATCTCTTTCTCTCCTACTTCCTGCCAACACTGGATCCTTCTCTATGTCTGCATGCAGCATGCAACATTGGCATCTGGCATCGTGACAAAGCTGCCAGTGTTATAAACTGTGATTACCATAAAGTAAATGGCACAGTCCTGTCTCAACTCTCACAATTTTTCCAAATCCTGCCTCAAACTAGAGAAGTCATTCTGTACTGTTATTTCTTGTAAATGTGTACTTGTAGTATTAACTACCATTTGCTAAAAAGTATATTTCAGACACATACCCCTTAACCTTTAAATGCCGGACTTGAAAATAGTGGTGAGCTTGAGCTGGCCAGAATTTATTTAAATGCCCGCTGCTGGTGCTCGTTTAAATGCCCGTTGCTACTCTGCATTTAAATGTCCGTTCCTGTTAGGCACTTAATCAATTTTAAGCATTGTGTTTAAAAATGCTCTATCTAGCTCAATTTTTATGATAAATGGATGGAATTAACTTTGTTTATATCAGAAAAGAACATAGTGTCGCATANTTAAACGTGTCATTTATGACAATAAAATACCGTTATAAATGGAGCTTATTAGGAAGATCACGAACATATTAATTAGGCCTAATATTATGAATTTAACACTCACCTAATCAACGATCCACACTTTAATCACCGATCCATATCTAAATAAGATCGTGAACAAACTGAAAA